AATCTAGTAAATAAGTTTACTTAAGATTAATTTGTAAAATAATAATCAAATTTATTTATAATAATTTATTTAAGTTTCATTTTAAAAATATAAATTATAAAAAATTTTAATAAGTTAAGTGTTTAAGTAATCTTAAATAAAGTTATTTATTATACTCTTAAGTATATATATTTAAATTTTTATATTATTTAAATAAATATTTATGGAAAAAATTAAAAATTATATTTTTTTTGTAATGCACTGTATATAATATAATATATTATATAATATAACTAATAATATAATAAATATTTAAATAATTTTTTAAATAAATTTTTAAAATAATTAGTATAATTAATTTTTTTAAAGATTTAGATTTAATATTAAATTATAAACTAATATAAAAAGATTGATAGATTAGTATAAAATTAATAATTACTTCTAAAAAAATTATTCAAATTTTAATTAATTTTTATATATTAAATAAAGAATAATTTAAATTAATCTTTTATATTATTTTAATTATTTTATTATACTTTAATTTAATAATAAATAAATTATTAATTTATTAAAAAAACTAAAATAAAATTATTTTTTTAAAAAAAAGAGATTTTAAATATTATTACTATTAATTTATAAGATTGAAATTTTAAATTATATAAGTAAATTATTTTAGATTTAATAAATATATATTTTAATTTCATAAAAATTAAATTAATAATTATAATTAAAAAAGATATTTTAAATATTATTACTATTAATTTATAAGATTAAAACTTTAAATTATATAAGCAGATTATTTTAAATTTGATAAATATATATTTTAATTTGAATTAATAATTATAAAGATATTAAGATTCAAAATTTAATAATTAAATTATTTATTATATAATTTTTATATTAATTTTAATCAAATTTTATATAATAAAATTTAAAAAATAATAATTCAAAAAAATTTATATTAGTAAAATTTTTTTTATAAAAGATATATAATAAAAATTTTTATATTTAAATAAATTCTAATACCTAATAAGTTAATTAAATAAGACAGAATTAAAATTTTATTTTAAAAAAATAATCTATTAATATTATTTGATATATTAATTATTTTATATTAGATTATAATAAAATTATTTATATATAATATATTATTATAATTAACTAATAAAATAAATTTTTTATAATAAAAAAATATATAATATATTTTAATTTTAATTAAAAATATATAATAAATATTTAATTTAAAATACTTATAATTTTTTATTTAAAATTTAAATTAAAAATTTAATTAATAATTTAGTATATAGTGATGACCAAAAGTAATGACTTAGAGGCTAAATTTACTAATAAAGCATAGTAAAAATTAAAATTTTCTCTTTATATAAAAATTTATAATTTTAATAAGAAATAATTTTTATTTTTATATTAAAATAAAGTTTATCAGTTATAGTTTAACATATATTTTTTTCAGATTTTTTAGATTTTTTCTGAAAGAGTTACTCTAATTGTAAAGTTAATGCAAAAATTTTTATTAATTAAATTTCATTTTTAATTAGTAAAAATTTTTGCATTAACTTTACAATTAGAGCAACTCTTTCAGAAAAAATCTAAAAAATCTAAAAAAAATATATGTTAAACTATAATCATCTTTTTTAAATTTTTCAGCTATTAATTAACTATAATTAAAAAAATCTTTTTATTATTATATTTTTTTTTAATTATTTAACTTTACTTTTTTAAGTATAATAACTATAAAAAGATCTGGCTATACTATTATATATTTAATATTTAAATTAAAAATAATATTATAACTTAATTATAATTCTCTAATTAACTATTATAATTAATTATAATTCTCTAATTAACTATTACAAGTTATAATTAATTAAGATAATATTTTTAATTTAGATATATATTAAAAATTAGTATAATAAGATATTAAATATTGGCTATCATATATAATAATTATTAAATTAATAAATATCTAATAACTTTTTTTTATTAAATAAAATTATTATAAATTTTTAGTTTTATTTTTTAATTATAATATTAATAAATAATATATTTTATAAATATTTAAATAAATTTATGATCATTTACTTGGATGAAATTTTATATAAGCATAAATATGAATTAGTAAATATCTTGATTATTTTATTTTTAATAAAAGATATTTCAGTAAATTAAAGAAAATTATAGTTATTCAAGATTAGCCTGCTCTTTTCTAGATTTTGCAGGCTATTATCACAAATTTGTCAAAGAATTCTCTGCAACTGCTTCACCACTTACAACAATCATTCTTGAAATAAATCTGTTCTTTGATTCTATTTGCATTCAATCTGATTTTATTCAAGTGCTTTTTGAATCTGAATATACATTAATTGGATTATGAATTTTGACCAATCATCATCTTGTTCATCGTCAACAATTAATGACGGACATAAAGAATAGAGAAACTTCCCAATTCTTTTCGAATGAATCTAACCAGGCTAATAGTGGTGAGCTTGGAACCTCACCGGGAAGGGGGGGAGGGGGTGGTGGAGCTACCCAATTACCACAAGCTATTACCACCACCACAAATAGTTCTATAATTCCCATGGACACTCCACGCTCGCAAGAGTGGCGCCTAGATTGGGATACAAAAATGGACATTGCCTTATTCAATGCTGTAATGAAAATACGACCTGTTGGTCTGTTGTTGTGACTCTTTCAATATCTGGTTTCTGTTCTTGTATGTTCTCATTATCGATTTGATTTCTTCTATAATATGATATTCCTATAAAAAGGGATACACAAGCATTTTCGCATGATATACATTCATAGGGAGTATAATGCTCATAGTCCAGTAAAGTGTACGATACAACAACTATGGGATAGGCTGAATTTTTTTTTTGATCTTGAACAACTTGATGAAATGGTTAGTGTTTTGGGAGTGTAGTGTATAGTAGCTATAAGAACGATAACGAAGGCATTAACGACTTATAATACAGGAATTTGAATTTGAAGGAGATGGCGATATTGATGATCGATCAATAAAAGAATTTAGTCTGCCCATGGATGACTATGATCAATTAATAGCCGAATATCGAAAAGCAAATTCTTTACGTATCATCGAATCACCACCGTCAATTACTAGTGTCACTACTACAGCGACTAATGCTAATGTTAAAGGTCACAAAGGCGGAAAAAAAGAATTAGCACAATCGCCTACGAGTACTACTCGATCAACGGCCTCTTCATCACCAGAGCCAGAAGGTTTCCTTCTTTTTTTTTATAATTTTCAATCTTAAGCAAATAGATTAATTAAATGATTTTTATTTCAAAGAACCACCACCAAAGAAATCTAGAAGAACATCAAGGCCACCAAAGAAAGTGGAAACAATAGCTGAAACATCAACTCCAAAAACACCTGCCAAACGAGGTCGTGGGAGACGTCCTTCTGAGGTACCAGCCACTAATAATACAAATACTAATACCCCTAATGCTACTACAGCTACAACCACAACCACTCAAGCAAGTGGAAGACGCGGTTCTCGCCCAAAAAAATCACAAAAATAACTGTTTAGACAAAAAATTAAACCTGTCATTGTAATTTTATAATAATACGATATTATTACGCGTCTTAATCGAAATGAAAATATCAAATTCAGGCTATGATAATATTTAAAACAATCTAATTGAATTCAAATATTTTCATAATTATCTCTTGATCTTTATATTATATATAGAATTATATATATTCTGTATAATCAAATTAATTAAATTAAATAATCAATTGTGATATTTTTTCTTTCATTGGATTGGATATTTAAAATTGAAATTAATAATAAAATTATTTTATTTTTTAATAAATATTTTGTTAATGTTTTTATTATTTATATTAATTATTTATTTTTTTAAGATTATACTTTAGCATTTATAATAATTATTTATTCTTTTTTTCTTTTATTTAAATATTTAATTATTAAAAGAAATAAAATAAAATAATTTATTAATAAAATTTTATAAAATTATAATTTTTTTATATATTAAAATTTATACTTAATTTTAATAATAACTTTTTTAGAAAAAATATAAATTATTAAATTATTAATTAATTATTATTATTATTAGTATATTTTTTCAAATTTATTTATTAAAATAAAATTTATAATTATATTATTTTCTTTTTAATAATTTCTAATTTTTTATAAAAATTTATAATAATATTTTTATAAATATTATTAATAATTTTTTAAAATTATAATAATATATTTTATATTAATTATAATTATTATTATTTTTAATTATTATATATTTTTAAATATAAATTATAATTATTAATATTTATAATAATTTTATTATTATTATAATTTTTTAATTAAATTTTAATTATAAAATTTAAATATATATATAGAAGTAATAACTTAGAGGCTAAATTTATTAATAAAATATAGTGATAAAATTTTCTCTCTATATTAAAATTTATAATTTTATTAAGAAATGATTTTTATTTTTATATTAAAATAAAGCTTATCAGTTATAGTTTAATATATATTTTTTTCAGAATTTTTAGATTTTTTCTAAAAGAATTGCTTTAATTATAAAGTTAATACAAAAATTTTTATTAATTAAATTTCATTTTTAATTAGTAAAAATTTTTGTATTAATTTTATAATTAGAGCAACTCTTTTAGAAAAAATCTAAAAAATCTAAAAAAATATATGTTAAATTACAACTGATAAACTTTATTTTAATATAGAGAGAAAATTTCAATTTTCACTATATTTTATTAGTAAATTTAGCCCCTGAGTTATTACTTTTGGTTATTACTATATAATATTTATTAATAATATAATAAAATATATAATTTTCTTAATATCTAATAAGTAAATATAGATATTATATATTTCAAATAGATTTTAATTATAATTAATTAATTAATTTATATTTTTTTAGTTTTATTTAAATAAGATAATTTTTTAGAATTAGTATAAAAATTTTAATTTATAATTTAATTAATATTACTTTTATTTATATAAATAAAAAAATTATATAAATAAATATATATTAATTTTGATATTATATTTAATTTTATTTTTAATATATATAATATTAAGTAAATATTAATTAATATGAAATAAGAAAATTATAAATTTAAAAAAATTAATAAAAATTTATAATATTTTAAATAAAATTTATTATAACTTATTATTTTTATAATTTAAATTTTTATAATTATTATGTTATTAATTGATAAATTATTTTAATTTAAAAAATTTTATTTAAAAAATTTTATAATTATGATTTAAATAGTAATAATTTAAGCTTTAATATATTAATAATTAATTAATTAATAATTAAATTAATTTAAACTATCTAAATTATTTATTTTAGATTTAATATAAATTAAAAATAAATTAAACTAATTAATTTTTCAAAATAAAATAATAATTTGAACTTAAAATAAAGTATTAAATATAATTTAAATTAAATTGAATTAAATTTTAATTAATATTTCTTAAATAATTAATTTATTTAATTTTAAACTTATTATTTTTAGTTTATAAATATATTATTTATTATTTATATATAAGAAATTAATTTTTTATTAATTAATATTAGAAAATTTAATATATAAAATCTATAAAATAAATAAAAAAAATTATAAAAATTAAATATTTATTAAGTAATAAATTATTAAATATTATAATATTTTCTTAAAAAATATAAAAAATATTTTATATATAAGAAAAATTAAATATAAATTAACTATATAATAATATTATATAATATATTTATTCAAAAATATATAATATTAATTTTTATATAAATAATATTATTTTTCTTAATAAATATTTTATATATTTTCTATTCTTTAAATTATATTATTTTTCTAATTCTTTTTTTACTTTAATATAAAATTTTTAGTATTATAATATAAGTAATTTTATAATTAAAATATTTTACTTGAAATACAGTGGCCATCAAAAGTAATGCAACGCTTAAATTTTTTACTAATTATAATTAGTAAAATACGTGATTTTCCTTACATATAAAAGTTTTTAATTTTACTAACAAATATTTTTTATTTTTATCTCAAAAAATAGCTAAAGTTCTCTAGTTTAACATATATTTTTTTCAGATTTTTTGGATTTTTTACTGGTAACTTCTTCTAATTGCATATGAAGTTAATAAATTTTTATTAATTATTAATTAGTAAAAATTAATTGACTTTATATGCAATTAGAAGAAGTTGCTGATAAAAAATCCGAAAAATCTGAAAAAAATATATATTAAACTAGAGAACTTTAGCTGTTTTTTGAGCTAAAAATAAAAAATATTTGTTAGTAAAATTAAAAACTTTTATTTGTAAGGAAAATTATGTATTTTACTAATTATAATTAGTAAAAAATTTAAGCGTTGCATTACTTTTGATGGCCACTGTATATTTATTAGATTTATATATATATAATATATAATAAAAAAACCATAGCTTTTAATTTTTTTCATAAATATTTATTTAAATAATATAAAAGTTTAAATATACAGTATATACTTAAAGGTATGATCAATAACTTTATTTAAGACTACTTGAACACTTATCTTATTAAAATTTTTTATAATTTATATTTTTATAGTTAAAATTTTTAATAATAAAAAAATTTAAAAAATTTATTACAATTAAATTTGATTAAAATTAATCTTAAATAAACTTGTTTACTAGATATATATTTAAAATTCTGTATAATTTAAGTAAATATTTATTGAATAACAAACAAAAAAAAGATTAAAAAAGCATTTTATAATCAATTTTTTCAAAAAAATTTCAATAAAAAATATTAATTATAAAAAATTTTATTAAGATAAGTTATTAAATGCTTTTAAATAAACTTGTTCACTAAGTTATCAAGCATATATATTTAAAATTTTATATGATTTAAATAAATATTCATTGAATATAAGTAAAAATAATTCCAGTTTTTTTGTTACTTTTATATATATATATATATATAATTTTAAATATAATATATATGATAAAGTAATAAAATTATAGATATTCGGAGGATATACAGTATATTTATTACTTATCATTTATTATGATATAAGCCTGAACCTCTTGTTCAATCTCATGAAAGTAATTATAAAGATCTGCAAATGATGAGGTAATTCAAAATCTGATGCACGACCAATTGTTATTTCTGGCTGGATAGAAGCGGCCTGACCTTGATCACTCTGTTTGTGACGATGCTGTGTCTTGTTTGGAATTTCTCGGGCAAAAGTAATAGTTTCCTCTAAACGTGAGTATCAATTAACACATCTTTCATTCGTTCTTTCCTCTTTACACTTCGTGACTTTTCTGTATCTGACTGGGATTTCTCTCTTGGTAGTGTACAATCATCGAAAATATTCTGGCTACAAGAGATTAGACACTCATGACACAGCCCTGCATTTATGTATTCAAGCTTTGCTAATTGTAGTCAGCGGACGGATGTAATCTGCTGTATATATTTTGAAAAATTTCAGCAACAGTTGCTTTTTCTATTTTATCATAATTGATTGTTCTCAGTTCTTTCTTAATATCATCCTCCGTAATATACCTGAACATTATTGCCTTGCCTATTCATTGCAGGTGGCATACACTTCTGTCAAATGTCCTCATTCTTGCAATTTACGAATTATCCCCTGATTTTGTTGTCAGCCATCACAGTTGAACCAGAAATGTATTGGTGAACGTAGTCGCAAAAGTATCGTTTCTCATAACTTCCAGTCATGTATATTCGTGAATATGCATCTCAATCATTACAATACATACAGGTGAGTAATTTAATCATTTGTTTCTCCAGCAAAGATTGACAAGCTACTGATTTTGTTCCGCTGGTAAAATAGTAGCTGATAGCGTAGTATCGGGTCAAGATACATCCGACATTTCTAACATTGTGTGATCTGTTTAACGGGTTATATCTGTGCCCGAGCTTCTTCATAAGTTCGGTAAGTATTTTGATTACGCTGCTTGACGAATATTTCCCGTTCAACCTCCTCAACCCAGTCTCTATTCTTGACATTGTACGGTCAGTATTTTTTAACTGTTATACAGTTCGTCAAGTTGCTTTGACATCGTAAACATCTTTGACTTGCAGTGTGCAGTTGAGTTCTGCACCAACACTTCTTATTTAGTCCTTCCAATCCAACCTTCAGAAATGACTTCAGTTACGCATCCTAGCGAAATATTGATCCAGTCAGTCACAATCATCCCAAGTGAATTTTTTTAGTTGATTTCTATATCTTCCTGACATATGTGTACAACGCGGGTAGTTTCAGCACTTCGAATAATTCGGTCTGGCACTTCGTCAAAGTCGATTAGATTAAGAGCTTATCAATAGGCTTTCACAGATGTTCATAATTTGTTCGAAGCGTTTCCTATACTTTCATTCTCCAGAATCATACTTTTCTAATTCATGGTGTAACTATGATCTAATCGTCAGTTCTGATTCTCATCAGGTAAGCTTTTTCATCTAAGTCTTGCTCTTCAACCTCGTATTCATCTTCATTCAAGATTTCTTTCTCAGTTCCGCTTTCAGTTTCTTCACCGATTTCTTTTTCAATATACTTAATGGCGATTTGCCCATTCTATATAAAGGTCATTAATCTATTTCTTATGCAGATATTCACATGGATCTTGTTCAGAAAGTTCATTCCTACTACTACAACATAGATGCGGGCTTCCGTGACATTTTCTCAATAGGGATTACGATCCCATTAATTGTTACTGGTAATTCATCTATTGCTCCCAATGGCTGTTTTGATTGTCCATTAATATCGATTATGTCATTGTATTTTGATTCCTTGCTTGTCAAGGAAATCTTTAATCGCTAAATATCCAGACGTCCCAGTGTCGATTATCAAGTTGATCAGAATTTCTCCTGCACTGGCTTCGCATCAAGCTGAGGTAATTTTTAATTTCTGTGCGACAAATAGGATTGCTTTCCCCTTCTTCCATTTCATCTTCCTTTTTACATCCATTATTTTCACTGTATTTTGATGGGCCTGGCTTTTTCCATATCGTCACCCCCTCTTCATCTTCTACTTGAGGTTGCTCCGTTACTTCCTTTCCCTTTGAATCAGTTGCACACTTGGCATAAGGATTATGTCTGTCAACTGTTCGAAGCCTTCTTTCTTCCGCCATGTGCTGATGAGTGGCTAAAAGAGAGTTAGTATTATTCGTGTGCTGGATATTCTGATGGATGTGGATTGCCTCCGTTAGTTCTGAAGTTGGGCCATCAAAACAGCATTGCCATGGTTAGTCATTGCTTCGTTATTCATTGATCGGCCTTCCGAGTTCATTCGGTCACTGGTAATTGTTACGCCCATTTTGACTTTGGTAAGTCTCATTATTAGTATTTCGATTATTTCATGGTGTTTCCGATATCTCATACTGATGTGATCTTTGGCTTTACAATTATAGTAAGTGATTGGTCTCCTGTTGTTTCGCAAATTCGGGTTGGACTCACCGTATTGACTCGTATTCATCCGTCTCGGCATGATTTCCAAGTTATCCAATTTACGAGTGATCTTTCAGAGTGAGGCTGTGAGCTGATCGAAGTATGTAGTGGAAATATTGCTTGATTGGTGATAAGTCCTCGTAGTACAGCTTTTTGCTACTTCTATGATATCTGTGAGTGTACCGTTTGCATTAACTTTCATCCACTTCTGTAGTTCAGATCTCAATCCGCAACAGTAAATTTTAGCACGGCTGTCTTCATGAATATGACCATCTGGATCTGCTTTATGAAGCAGTTATAGTACCTGTCGGTGTATTCACTCACGGTTCCGGCCTGTTGCAGCTCTTCTAGCTCATATCGTTAATTTTCTAACTTCTGATTAGTTCGAAACTTTAAGATGAAGCGATGTTTGAAGTCATGTTCGTTATGTCCAGCATTGGTCCAATTGGTTAACCGGGTGACGTTGTTCACGGCTTGTTCGTCGAACCAAATGGCCGCCGGTCCTTCCAAATATCCACGCATGACTTGTATCCTCCTTTCTTCTGTGAGTCCGCTGGCAGTAGTGGCTACTTCGCAATCCTTTAGCCAGGCTATTGGATCCTGATCGTCACCACGAAACTTTCGGATAGATATAATTATTTTTTTCAATGGCTCTTGCATCTTGCATGGTCAACACATTGATCAATCCTTAAACTGCTGCTAGTACAGCAGCTGCGTTTGCCATTCCTTCAATTCCCGACTGGTCTTCCTGGAATGAGTCTTCCCGCACGGAATGAATCCAATTGTTCAACTTCTTCGTCCGATTCTTCATGAATTACTATGTGTTGACTCGGAGATCCATCGCCGCTAGGCTCAGAAGGCTCGTTATCAAATAGGATTAGTATATTACAAGTTAATTGTCTTTGCTCGACCTGGGTTAATCTTCGGCCGTAAGTGATAGAACTAAGCAGTTCTTTCACAATTCTTTCCGTCGGCCATATCTAACTTTCTTCTAGTTGTTTGAATATAACTTGGGAAGCTCGGGAGTAGTTGAAAGCACCATTTTCTCGTAGCCAAGTCCAGAATTCAGTGAAAAAGCAGGAATTTTCGAATAACGGAGAATAACAAAGACAACAATAGAATGACGGTCTTGCAGGAAGCTTGTAACGTGGATTTGGTGGGTCTCAAAATGAGAGTTCATTTTACTTCCTTTGAAGTTGTAAACTTCGTTCATACAGGACTTTAATTTGCCAATGATAACGGTCTTTTCTTTATTACAGGATTGAATCTTATGGACAGAGTAATCCACAGAGAGACACCAAAATGTCACGCTACTTTACAAAGATATTAGATCTAGGAAAGTAAGATGCAACAAATTGGTGAGGGCTCCGACTAAATGATTTACGAAAGGAAAAGTTCTCGATTCATTCCAAAGGTCTCCCGTGGTAGTACTACTACTTTGTTTGATCGAATGAGGCGAAAGGAATGAGGTTTGATGGAGTTGATTTGACAAAATGGATTGGTTCAAGGAATTCCACAGGAATATGGGTAGTTCCGGCTTATTTCCAACACAAGAAGAAAAAGTTTCTTATTGATGCGGCCAACAAACTTATCTATAAGAAAAATTCAAACACAAAGATTTAACTGGACCTATCCAATGCCGGTAAACAAGACTTCTACAAAGATGATTTATTTAGAGTGGTGTTCTTCCACAAATGATTTATGTTAGGCACAAAAGATATAAAAGCCACTTGTACGCAAGATTTTTATGTAGGAAGTAGCAGAAAGTATAATTACAAATTAATATTTTTTATTACTTGTCGTCCTGTTCTTGTTGGAGGCCAAGAACTGTCTTTTATACATATGAGGTGGCTGTTAATTTTTATTTTAAACTAGAGTACGCCAACATCTTTGACTATACAACGATTTATAATTAAGGACTTTTCTATTATAGAAAATATTCACATCTATTGAAAAAACTTTAACAAAGGTCAAAGAAAGCAATTCGCTGACAAACAAACTATTATCAAGTATTCGTTAATAATTAAAGTAATCTCGAAATGAAGCTAGTCGTTATTACATTAATTGATGGTTTGAATAACTATAGGTCGTGGGTAATTTCACTAGTCAGAATAATCGTGAATCAATAAATTATCGCAGGCATTTTTGATTGCCTGATTATTACAAAAAGCGATATCAGATGTCAAAACATGAGTGTTGTAGCGTTACCCGACAATTATACTCCCAAAATGTAGTAAGAATAATTTTGTTAGAGGAAAAATGTTATCATTAGTTTGATGATGCGTGCGTTAATCACTGGTTATCCCGAATTTAGTAGTGATCCCATATTCGAAAAACTGCTTACGAACTTTTCCTAAAGTTTTTGTGCTGAATAATCACTTTTCTTTCGATTTTGTGGATGCCTATTTTAAATTAACTTTTTAGTTGAGATGAGAAGTTAAAACAATTTATATTGAAAGCGATAAGATTAAAAACAACAATTCAATAAGTATAAGATATAATTCCCAAGTGCGACATTATAGATAAGTTTAAATGTTTTTCATCAAGATTTATTTATAGAAAAATTGAACACAAAATTCATTAAGGAATAAAATGCATGAAACAATAGTTAATATACAAAACCCAATCACAGTACTTGGATAATCTGTAGAATTTATAACGAGAGAAGCGCAAATCATGCAGCAGATATTACATGTAATTGAAACGTACACTACGGGAAAAAATTGGCGAGATACGAATATGTCCTATTGAAGAGTTATACGGAGTCAAAGGTAGGTGCATTTTATTCGTTAAAATGCTGCTCATCAATCAATGCAAATTT